TCCATATATAATAATTACATAATAATAAGAAAAAAGTTATTTTGCTCTCTATATATTAAAAATAAATGGATGTTACTTTATGATGTATATACCTTCAAATGACGTATTATAGGCTTGATGCGTCCATAATTATAATTATCAAGTATATCTTTTTCAAACTCCTTAAAACATAATCGCCAATAACGATATCGTGCATCACTAAAACTGGCTTTACTGTTATTCAAAGGTTTAGGGACTACGGACCAATATCTAGAATCCGCCGGCTGATACTGCAAAACGTGCAATTTGGCAAATTATACGCGTGGTTCAAAAGTGATATAATTAATGAATTAGTGCAGATTATTTGTCATTTTTCTATGTTAAATTTTATTTAAAATAAAGTAGCAAATTTTTAGAAAAAAAATTTGTAAAATGTCTTGCTAGGTGAAAAAAATGTATCAAAGTCACAATGGCTTTCTATTTCTTTGAATAATAAATTTGTATTTTTCAAAACTATAATTTTTTATTATTATCCTTGTTTGATACACACGATAAATCTTTTGCACTAATGTAATATTTTATGTTACTTTTTCTAAAATAGACAATTTTGAACAGTTTGGTGGTGTTTTACAGCTCGAAAAAAGTAATACAGGAACCACATCAATATCAACCGACTTTCCAGAAAGTTGAAACGAAAGCGTAAACGCTGGTCCGGCTTTTTTTATTGTTATCTAGAAACAAAAAGAGAAAATGTAATTTTTGTTTAGTTTTTGATGCCCTACGATATTAGCTAGAATACTGTATGTATGTTTTAATATTTTACTTACTGAGATATCACCACTCAATACAATTCGACTACTTTTACTGGTTTCGTGAGCCACTTTACTTAAAATGCTTTCTATCCAAGTACGAAATTTTTCTTGATTTAGATACGATTGATTATCAATTAAAGACTTCAGTTCTCTAAACAGACAAAAAACACAATTTCTCTTTTTTTCTAAATCATATAAAAAGCGCTTTAGTACGATTTATTTACTTTAATGCCTTTTCTAAGTTTAATGTATCGTGTGACATATCTCTATCTGTCCAAGGCGTAAGTATCTTAGTATAACCTGGTTGATCTGAGCTAAACTGTAATGATTAATAGGTACTTATTATTACACATATGTGCAAATTATATATTTTAATTTAAAAAGAACTAATATTATATATTGTATAATATATTAACAAAATAATAAAATATTAATATCATCTATCCATGTGTAATTCTATATATATATATATAAGATATAAAAGTAATACATCAATGCTGAATACAAATCATATGGACATTATATGGATATGTCGATATCCAGTAGATATCGATTAGATATGTAGCTCTGTGTGGGTGATTTTCATACAATAAACGAGCAATTTTATTACGAAAAAGATGTGATATTACGATGACGTAGAAATGACAGATGACAGATATATTGTCATTTGCGATAAAATTTGATTATATAAATGTTGATCAAAAATATGTGAATACACAAATATAATATATGTGAATGCATAAATATATATGTGAAATTGTCTTTCGCTGATTTCGCACATAAATATTTGCATTCATTTAGCATTTTTTATAAACAGATAGCGGTTTATTATAAGAAGTAACAAATATCATAAAATACAAATATATATCGATGCAAAAAAATAAAATTTATTTCAAAAATATATCAACTAAATAGTTTAAATGTTTAACAACAAAAAGATTATTTAATTTCCTATATATCAAAAAAATTTTTTTAATTTTGTATTATTAACTTGGATTAATAAGCTTTCCGTAAAAGTGGAGGGATTACGGAGAGCCAAATACTCGATTGTGATTGGTCGATTTTCTTAGCGCTGTGAGCGTATTTCGGACCGCAGCCCTAGGGTGCGTTCCGTTTCACGCATTGAGCGCATAGATCGCCTGGTGAAACGAAACGCACACCTAGAGAAGTCTCGGAAGGAAAAGAGGCCACAACATAACCTTTCAATTCTAATCTAGTCAGTCTATGTTCGCCACGTGTTTGTAACACGTTTTGTAACGTGAATTTGAGATTTAATTGAAGACGTGAGACTGTGTATATGTATGAAAGAAGAAGAGGGGCTAAAGACGACATTTTTTCCAGATAGAGAAGAAAATCATGACAATCTCGGAATTCACGTAATATCGACAATTATAATCGATATCAGTCTAGTGTTTCACTGTAAGACTATAGCGAGACTACAAAATGTCGCGAATAATAAATGCGAAGGAAGTAATCCTGACGAGTGATACTACTGGAGAAAGTTGGAGTGCTGCGGTATGGGATCCACGGAATGGTTCAATGTTGTCTGTATTTAAAAATGCGTCAGCGCTCGGCCATGGCACTCTTCAACTTCTGAGCGATAGCTACATACTGGGCGCCAGTGCCACGAAATCGCGTTTATACATCTGGCCGCTGAACAGCCCATCACCCTTGTCCAATATCCACCTAACTACAACGGGTAAAATAAATGCCCTGACTTGCACACCGAACGGCTCCTACATAATCACCTCAGTGGACGAAAAAATATTCATCTGGCAGACCTGCAACGGCAGAATGCTGGCCAATCTAAACGCGCATTATCAGACTATTAACTGTTTGGCGATCACGACGGACGGTTCATTCTTCGCTAGCGCTGGCGAGGATGGTATCGTGTTCGTATGGTCTCTCTATAAAGTGTTGAACGATAAGCGTGACCGTTCTCACGTTTATTCCTTCGATGATCATACTATGCCAATCAAAGATATGCTCTTTGGCTTTTGCGGCGCTCGCACAAGATTATACACAACTTCGTTGGATGCAAAATGTAACATCTATGAGCTCGGCAGTGGAGAGCTTATGGTTTCATTGATATTTGACGTGCCGCTTACAGCGATCACCGTGAATTCCCGCGAAAGCGAATTCTTCGTGGGCTGCACGACCGGTGATATATTCCAGTGTCATCTGCACGAACCGCCACGCGGAACCGTGAAACATGTGAAGAATGAGGAGAAAGCTGTGTTCAGAGCTCACAAGTCGCACGTCACTGCTCTGTCGACATCCATAGACTGTTGCACTCTGCTGTCTGGATCTACCGATGGAGCCGTCCATATCTGGGACATTGTCAGTCGGCAGGTGCTCAGAACGATTAAGCACAAGGGGCCAGTTACTGCCGCATTCTTCACGATGGGGTTTGAAAATTTTTGGGCCTCTACCCTCGAGCCGCGCTTGAAGGTGCATAGTCTGGAGAGGGTGTCGGAAACTAATGACAATGAATCGAACGACGTTATCAAAGTTATTTCCAGAGGACGAAATCCGGCAGAAATTCTGGACTTTCAATCGTATGTGGGAAATACCGTTGATTCTTCAGAACGGGAAGAGTTGATAAAGCAATTGAAGGAAAAGATTAACGAGTTGAAAAAGAGCAATACTGGCCTATTTGTGTATAGTGCCATGCATATCCTGCCAGAAATGAACGATGAGTGATGGACGATATTGAAAATATAATAAAGATTTTATCTATCTTTGTGAAATAGACAGAAAATTTAATTATACCTTATAGGATTAAAAAATATACAATGCAAAAAAGAAAGATAAAGAGAGGTATTAGATACCATCTTTTTCTTTATATGAAAATATGTATTATGTTGTTGAAAGACAACACAATCTTTTACAAATCATAAAAATATAATTACGAAAAAGATCAAACATTTTTTTTTACCCTCGAAAAAATCTTTATTCGTAAATTTTTGACAAATATAATAAATGCACAAATACTTTTCTATTTTATTATTGTTTTGTACTATTTTGTTATATTTTATTATTGTATTTGTATTCTATTATTTTATTTTATTACTGTTTTTTTATTATTCTATATTGTTTCTTTTTTCGCGATATTCAAGTATTTATAGTCCCATTAACGCTAGACGAGATTTTGTATTTTATTTTAGATTGAAACCTAATGTTGCGAGATATATTATATTCTCGTAGTGTTATCTGTAAAGGGTGTCACTAATTATCTTTACTAATTAGGATATTAGACGGGAAAATAATTTCTTTGGCGGATGATCTGCTATCGCCGAATCGAAAGATGACGTGCTATTCTTCATCCTTCTCCTTCTTCAAAGTACTATATTATAAATAACATCTTTTTTTTAAATAGTGTAGTGTAAGATAGGTAAGATATAAGTAAAAATGACATTTTATTGCAGAATCTGAAAAAAGATTTTTCTCGCGATATTGAATAAAATATCTGTAAGCACGGTAGAACGCTTTTCTCTTTCTCGCTAGTCTTTTCGCGACATTAAACTATATATTTTATTCTTTTTTTCTTTCTTTCTAAACATATATGCGCGCATACTCCGTACCAGTATTCCTTATCCATATCTCTATACACGTGTACAATTAATTAGGCAGCGAGTCAGTTAAATGTTAAATACGATTTTCATCGGCGCTCCTTTATATTTAAATGAGCTGGTAGGCGCATACAAATGAAACCTTCATGAGAACACTATATCTGTCACAGATAAATTAATCGCGAGGCAACATCGCATGCACATTGTCTCTTTAGGTGAGTCAATGAGCTACCGGTTCGTCTAATTTTTAGTTACATCCGATGCATCTTGACTATTCGTGACTTCTAATGGTATTGATCGTTCCACATTTTTACCTATTTTTGTAAAAGAAATTTATTCGGAAACATCCGATGTAAGTCCACAATTACGTATTCTCTATTCTCTCCCTCATTGCAAATAAATTTTTCTCTAAAATTCTTTATACATGAACGAGTCATTCCATAAGTATTGCTTAGAGAACTTTATTGTACGAGGTACGTTGGAAAAAAATGTACATATGTTACCAGCATTTATTATTTATATGGCACGTGAAAGAGGAAATATATAAATTAAGAATTTGTGTTGTAAAATTCCCAATCTTTGAAACTGAGAGATGGCTTTACCAATATTGAAACCTTTTCTATTCATAGTTCTAGTGTTTTCGATGCAACAGTCACAATGTATCCAGTGTGCGTAAACGAGGGAACGATACGAAAAAATATCGCGCGATCACGTTAGGGAGATCATCCTCACTTTGGAAAATCGCATTCGGTGTTCAGAAAATGTCACGCACAGTAATTCATCATAATCTGTCGCACGATAATCGCATCACGCGTGTACAAATCTATATATTATCCTGCATCATTGTAATCGTAGCCTCCTTTTACGCCTACGTCAGCATTGACCGAATTACTATAATTGACACCCCCATATTCTAGCTAGGAATGTTCAAAAGTGCGTCTAGGGATCAATTTATTTTTTGATAAATAGGGTTTTCCATCCTAGGGGTTGCGTAGTACATCAAAATCGACCGCGTCGTCAAAATTAATAATATATATCTTTATACTATACATCTCGCCCATAAAATGACGGTAACCATTTACATTGAAATGGTATATAAAAAAGGAAGCTTATGGAAAAACCTTGAAAATTTTATATTAAGAAAAGAAAAAAAAAGATGTAAAAAAACAGCTCGTTCTCTCATAGAAAAGTATCCATAATGAAATATATTCTTTGATTCAACGACATACATATTGAAATGATATGATTGGCATAGGTAAATGTAACGCGTTATGCGCAATACTAATAATATTTTCTTCTTTTGATAGTATAACAATAATTATTATAAAACTGAAATCATAATTGAAATCACCGACAATATTCGTCGATAATATTTTGCCAGCATCATCTTTGGCCGACAGTATGTATTCATCAATATACAAATGTTTGTATCTTTATTATACATCTGATTAGGCAAATAACTTGATCGTTTTTACAAAGGAATAATTCTATCCGTCTTGAAAATTTTGCAAAAACGTGTTGTAAATTAAAAATTTCTGGTAAGTATTTTATATCTCAGATTTTTTATAAATTTTTCAATTAACGTTAAATAAAATTTAATTTTTGACCCGGAAAACATCTAACAGCTTGTTATGTAGATCGCGGGAAATACATCGCAAGAAATAGGGGCGAGTCGGAGGCCCTGCGATAAGGGGGTTGAACCCCCCTCAGGGTGGTAATTCCATGATCGGGTGGAGTGGCGCAACCCC